ATTTTAATTTAATTTAATTTAATTAATTAAAATAATATTCATGATATTAGTATTAACATTAATATTAATTTTTTTATTTTTTTTTATAAAACCTAATAGTTAAAGTTATAATAATTACATCATCAACTTAAAAAAAAAAACCATTTAAAATATCTTTTAAGTTACACAAACATTAATTAAAAAATAACTTAACAATAACCAAACATTAAATGGCATTAATGTTGTTAAAAAAATGGCATTAATGTTGTTAAAAAAATGGCATTAATGTTGTTAAAAAATTTTTTTTCTCCTAATCATTATCTGTGCTGTATTGTGTGGTCTGCTCAATTTCTTTCCTTTTTTTTTTTTTTTGGTAATAAGTAATGTTCAATTTCTTTAATTAAAATGCCAAAAAGAAGGCATTGTATACTTCGTAATTTGGCCCCAAGCTATACCATTTTGGTAACATGATGAAGTTCCCACGTGAGAATCGCTCATTCACACGTGTGACCACACACACTAAATATATTTATACAGAGCATTTTCCCCTCTGCCTTTCAATTCAATGGCGTCCTCGGCTCACAAGCAACCAGAATACCCACCGAACTTATACGGTGCCACCGTGGCGCCACCACCAACACCCTCTACACAACCAAACCACCACCTTGCTTCTTCAGCTGCCACAGCGGACGCGCTTTCTTGTCTTCTCCACCGCCTCCCTCCTGCTCTGTCTCTCCCCACTCGTCGCTCTCCGTCAACCCCGTCCCTTCCCGCTATCTCCCTCTCAGAGCCGAAGCTTACCGATCTTATACTCTCCTCTGCTTCACAACTCGGGTTTTTCCAGCTTTGCAACCATGACATACCGTCGCAACTGGCTGCCTCAGCCGAGACCGAGTCATTGTCTCTGTTTAAGCTCACTTTAGACCAAAAAGAATCAAACTTTCCCAAAAACTGGCCTCTTGGTTTTGATGTCGACGATGAAGATGACAGAAATGGAGGTGGGTGTCAGTCCTTTTGCTTGGATGCTTCGTGCTTAACTGAGTCATCAATGGATTTGAAACTCGGTTCTCTGCTTGCTTTCACCCGGGCTTTAGAAAAACTGGGTTTGAAGATCATTGATCTGTTGGCAAATGCGGTTGGATTCGAGAACCCGGTTGGGGAGGATACGACAAAGTTTAGCTCCTTGATGTGGTTATCAAAAGGTCAGGGTTACGATGAAACGGTAATGCCGGGTGGGTTTTACCCGTATGTAGTCGGGTTGCAGTATCAAATCCGGTGCCGGAAGTACTCATTGCTGGGGGACTCTGGTTGGATTTCGGTGTCCCCACAAGTGGACTCAGTCATGGTTACAATTGGTGACATTGCTCAAGTAAGTTTAATCTTCCACTATAACAATTATTTAAGAGATTTCAGTTTTTCAGTTTAGACAGATTAAAAAATTATTGATATTTACTGAAAATTACTAAAATTTATAAATTCTTGTTGATGTAAATTTATTAATGACGTTTTGGTTACTTTTTAACTCTAAGTTTCCATTTCTATACATGAAAATATGATGGGCTAAATAGAAAAAATGAATGGAACATTGGTTATGAACTAATAATTAGTTTTTTACACGCAAGCTATAGTCATAATTTTATGTAAAATAGAAGTAAATTGTCAACATTTTGTGTAAATTTTTCTTCCAAACTTCTGATTGTTATGAACAAAAATGATAGGTTTGGAGCAATGGGAAGATGAAGAAAGTGAGAGGAAGACCAGTGGCATGTTTAGGAGACGAAGGCAAATCCAGCCGGTGCATATCAATGTCGCTAGTGGTGACACTGCCTCAGGACTCTAGGATCTCTCCTCTTCTGCCTAAGGACGAAGAAGGAAATGTGGAAGAAGAAGATCAAGCCTATAGGAAGAACACACAAAAGAAAATGTTCAATTCATTTCCCTTGGAGGAGTATGCATGGAGAGTATATCACCAACGTCTCCCCCTCAAAGACCCACTTGATCGATACCGCATTTAGATTTTGGATAAATTATAAACTTCCTTTAAAGTTACTGTTTTTTTCCCTCATCAACTGCTAAATGTTGAGACCTTTTGTTCTAGATAAAATGTGAATTCTACTTATCTTGAGCTTGTCAATTTCAATAAAAGCAGCTATGTTGCTACTACATAAAGAGTCAAACAAACAAACAAACAAACTGTTAAACATGCATACAAATCTTAATTCTTTAGAATCGATAGGCACTGAAGAAGATTTGGGTTGAATGAACACCAGAATATTAGTCCCCAATTCCGATTTGACCTGATGAATGATTTCACCGTCTGACTTGAAAAGTTGTTGACGAAATTGCATGTTTCTTTCCAACCATATATGCCAAAAGCATGTTTGGATTAATTTGTGAAAACTTTTACTTTTTGTTGTACTATTTAAATTTATTTTTATTTTCATAAGTGATAAGTTTAAATATTTTTATTAAAAGAAAAATTTTAAAGTTATTTTTAAAGAAATGAGAAATTAAGTAAAAAGTGAGGAAAATAGAATTTATGAAAAGTTTATATTTGAAAAGTTTATATTTGAAACTTTTGAATTTTTACTATTTGAGATTTTTTTAAAGTAAAAAAAAAATTTAAAAATATAAATTTTTAAGATAAAAATTTAAATTTATGAAATATAAATAGTATCAAAAAATTAAAGCATTTGGAAGCTAAATCAAACATGTTCTAAATGTTATTTAAGAAGTTGTGACTTAGTTGAAAAAAAATTTTTAATTCTTATTTTATTGATCAAAATTTAATTTTTTTAAAAAGCTAATAAAGAGATAATTTCTCATTAATTTTTTAATTCTAATATGAATAACTTGTCTTAAACTAAATTGAAAAAAAAATTAATTTCAAGCTGCACATAAATTAGTTTAAAAATATCTTGACCACTAAAATATAAATGATAAATGTTGATACTTTTACACAAATATGAAAATCTTTTTGGAACCTTCAGAAAATTAGCAACCGTGTAAAATCTAAGTATTGAATCCAAACTCAAAGTAATATTTAATGTATTAATCACACATGACAACATTTTTTTTTTGTTCTTCCGGCATTATTCTGGAGAAGAATTGCATATGTTTATATTAGCTTTATGTGTTGGTACCCATTTGGGGCCGTAGAAAAAATCCCATATTTTATTGATTAAGAGAAAATGGTTGAGAAATGTTTCTACCCATTTGGATTGACAAAAAAGAAAGTGAACAACCGTAGCTTTATAGTAAAAAGAAAGCACATATTCCTTTCATGTGGTCTCAATCATTTTTAGAGGTGTCGTTATTTTTTATTGGTGTCGTTATTTTTTATTTTTTTATTTGTAATTCGAATATTCTTTAATTAATTTTAGTACACCTTAAAATTAATTTTTTTTATAAAAAATTGTAAAAACACACATCTGATAATTTTTTTCGGCCTTAAATAATTAATTAAAAAGGGGGCAATTCCAAAAATAATTTGGGATGCTCCCAAAATGATGTCTATTATATATATGTCCTCCCTCTTATCATTCGTTACCCCCTATGGTTGTCTTAACTTGGAAAAAAAGTAATGTCTTGCTCACCCGTCAAACTACGAACTACCATACCGTACACAATAACTTGTCCACTGAAGAAACACCTTTCTTAGCCTTTACTTTTCTCAAACATAAATACCGCTATTAATTATATTTAATTTAATTATGATATCATTTTTCTTACCCTAATTAAAATTAGTTCTAATTTGGCCCCAAAACTCTCAATTTTTTATCAAATTGTTGTTTTTGTGGTTGTTGGAGAATGGAGACAGAGAGATTGTTGCTGTTTTCTTGTTGGATTTTCTCTATTTTTCGACGAATTAATCATGATTAGTAGGTAATTACGTCGTACCAAACTTGAAACAGGGACGCAAGGAAGGATGATTAGGTGAGTTTTCGACCGGTTGATCCTTTTCGATTGTTGCTGATAAATAACCCTTTGAATTCAGTTGCTACTAGACATTGATGCAAATATTTATTTATTTATTTCAACAATGACTGAAATTTAGTTAAACTCGATGGATAATGTTGCAACTAAAGCCGTAAATTAGCAATCACGTCAGTCTTTGAGATATCCTTAGTTTTTTACTTATCCACCCCAGGACAACATCTCAACCATATGATAATCACACTTAATCCCATCAAATTTTGTATACCAAAAAGGATTCACTGAGTCACCAATCTATTAATTGATCCTAAAAGGCTCATTAAGGGGTAGACCCCAAAAACTTTTTAAGTTTATGTCTCTGCTAATAGAAGTCTCAATTGATAATAAATTAAAATTCTAAATTAGAGTGTTACTTAAATTAATAAAGAGAGCTATTGTCAAATGTATTGAAAAAAATTTACCATTTGCATGCCTCTTCTAGCATTAGACTAGTAACTCAATTGGTTTAGGAGTACAATCATCGAGATTATAACTTGAGTTCAAGTTGAGGATATTTGTTTTAAAAGTTAAAAAACAATTATTAATTGTTTATATATTTTAAATTATAAATAATAACAATAATTATTAATTATTTAATATTAATTAATAACTATCAATTATTTCAAAACAATTCGATACAAAACACCCCCAAATCTCATTTGCCCTTTCCTTCAAATTGTAATATGTTCATCGTACTAAACAGAAACCTAAACCATGGGTCAACTAAAAAACAAAAAAAAAAAAAAAAAAAAAGGATTTATCACCTACATATGTACATAAATGTGCCAAGCTTGTCAAGCTTTCTAAACCAAACAATGGGGTCAGCCGGATTGGCCGTAACTGCACCACCACCATCACCACACAGCCTTCGTAAAGAAGTCCCAATCTGGTATATTTTAGATTAAGACCAACTTGGAAAAGCTTTGAAATCACTCCTCCATTTTTCTCTCCCTTTCCCTTTCTCTTGTTTGGAGAATCCGAAAGAAAAGAAACTAAAGCCAGTTAGCTATGGATTCCACACTAAAACAAGATAAAGAAAACATAAATCTGAGAAAGACAACTCTCCCTCCGCCACAACCCTAACCATTTCCTTCAAGAAAGCCCCAATCTCACCAAACCCTGATTAAACAAACATTAACATAATTAAATACATTTTCTCATCTCCTTTCCTCTCATTTCATTTCCCTTCGTCGGTTAAGTTAGTTTCTTTCCCCCTCTATATTGCCCTTTCTCTATTCCCTTCTTTTTACTCACTGCATTTTTTTTTTTTTTTTTGTTTCTTCTTCATGCAGCCTGTTCACCGGAAGACTCCTCTGTTCTCCACCGCAACACTTGCCATGAAGCACCGCAAGAGCAATAATCTCTCCATATTCATCGTCGTTTCTTCTGTTTTGCTGTTCGGGGTTTTCATGTACAACGAGGATGTGAAGTCGATGGCAGATTTTCCGTTTTCTAGACCCAGAGGAATCCCGGAGGAATCCAAACAGGGTGACCCAGTTCAAGAATCGATCAAGAACGAGAAAGGAAACGAAATTCCGGTTAATTCTCTAACTTCCTTGGAAGAAAACAAACCAGAGAAGAACATTCCCGATGAAATTCCCCAGAAACTACCCAATGGTACGGATTCCTCTGTTATAAAGGAAGAGGAGCATGAACCTGTCGAGAACGAAGAGAAGCAAGAGATTGAGTTACCGACGGTTGAAGAAGACGGCGCAGATGTGGAGTTGCCACCGGAGGAGTGTGATCTCTTTACAGGGCAGTGGATTTACGATAACGAGACGCGTCCTCTGTACAAAGAAGACGAATGCGAGTTTCTGACGGCGCAGGTGACCTGCATGAGGAATGGGAGGAAGGATTCTACGTATCAGAACTGGAGATGGCAACCCAGAGACTGCAATTTGCCCAAGTAAGAAAATTTCTAGTTCTTGAAACTGGAATTGTCTCTGTTTTTCCCCAGAATAAATCAGGTCTTCTCTGATTCTGTGTGAAGGTTCAAGCCAAGATTGTTGCTTGAGAAGCTGAGGAGTAAGAGGCTGATGTTTGTGGGGGACTCGTTGAATAGGAATCAGTGGGAATCAATGGTTTGTTTGGTTCAATCTGTGATTCCTCCAGGAAGGAAAAGCTTGAACAAAACAGGTTCTCTCTCTGTTTTCAGAATTGAGGTACCTCTCTGTTTTCTGAAAAATTCGTTTGGGGGGGTTCACTTTAATTCTTCCTTTTTCTTTATTTTTTTGACAATTTTTGTGGTTTAGTGCATTGGAAGTAATGCTTTTGGGTTTTTTCATGATGACTAATCATTATTCTATAACATTGATGCTTTATTCTATGAACTTTTGTGATGATGTATGATGCATTCATGCTTACTAGCTAGCACTAAGAATCTGTTTTCTTTTTAACCATTCATTTTTTGGGGTGGGGTAAAATTCTTAAGTGCAACAGAATATCATATTAGTAGTATTTTCAATTTATAAAAATTTAATACTACACATAGATATTTTAAATTTTACATTGGAAATTTTTAGCATATTACAAATTTCTCATGCAATGTCACATGTTTTACATTAATGTCTCTTTAAATTTACTTAGTTATTAGTTTATTGGTTGGAATATACTGTAAAAAGTTAAAAACCTGTAACATGGTACACCTGTTATACTAAAGATTCATATGAAGTATGGATTTAGAACATACTTAAGTAGGTTGTTGCAAGTGACTAATTAGTCTTGGTCATGTTATAGAATTGGATAAGGTTAAATATGAATTTTTCTTCCTCAAACTTTTAATTTTAAATATTATTAGTTTTTAAATTATTTTTTATATTTTTTCTATGATTCATAAAAAATAATTTTTAATCTTTTTATTAGTTAATCTATTTAATTTATTTTTATATATACATTTTTAATCTATTAAATATGTGCATAAAATAAGTTTAAGAACTACAAATATGTATATGTGAGTGAACTTAATATATTAATTGATGAAATAATTAAAAAATTATACTTTTTTATAATTTAGAGATAAAAAAATAAAAATAAAAATTCAAAAACTAAAAATATTTAAAGTTAAAAATTTAGGCACTACAAATGACATCTAACCGTTTGGTTAATTGGGTAGGCCCAAAATGAGAAAGAAAAAAAGAGAAAAACGAAGAGAAGATGTACCCCCCCTAATGTGATTGTCTGTCTATGTATTCAGGACTACAATGCAACAGTGGAGTTCTACTGGGCTCCATTTCTGGTCCAGTCCAATTCCGACGACCCAAACATGCACAGCATACTCAATCGTATTATCATGCCGGAATCAATCGACGAGCATGGAAACAACTGGAAAGGGGTCGACTTTCTGATCTTCAACACCTACATATGGTGGATGAACACTTTCTCCATGAAAATCCTGTAAGCGACCCCAACACAATCAGAATTTTGAATCTTTATTTTCTCAAATTCTTCTGCTTTTTGTGGGTTCTAATGCGGGTTGATGAAACACAGACGAGGGTCGTTCGATAAAGGGGACACAGAGTATGATGAGATTGAACGGCCGCTAGCATATGCAAGAGTGTTGAACACATGGTCGAAATGGGTTGAGATGAATGTGGATCCCAATCGAACCATGGTCTTCTTCAGCAGCACGTCTCCTCTCCATATCAAGTAATTTTCTTTGTGCCCTTCTGAGTTTTTCATGGAGTTGTAACAGTTGTTATTTTAGCGCGCCATCTGTTTGTTGGTTGGTCCGAATGAAAGCCACGACTGCTTTATGGTTCTTTGGTTCTTCCTCATTTAAATCATCCCTTGTCCTTAGTTACTAAAGGGATCACCTCATGGAACATTTAATATAAAGTCACCTTAAAAACAATGAAATTGATATTCTAGACAATTAACCCACCTCGTTGTTTCTTGCATAATGTTAGGAAAAGTAATGGATCTGAAGTTTTAGGCACTTTTTATAGCAATGATTAGCAATAAAAGATTCAAAATTTTAGTTTTGTGGGGTTCTTTGAGCATCAACTATTGGTTCCATCTTCGTCTAATTGTGGAGTAGCTACCGTAGTTGTTGAAGTAAATATCAACTTAGTTCCGTCTGGGTGGTTGATACTTGACAATTGGGCAATGTCTCCAAATCATTATTGGACAAAGTTATTCTCCTAACCTTGGTTGGCAAACCACCACGGCGAATTAATTATTCTATAATTGCTTCTATTATTATGCTTTGTGTTTGAAATTAGGCTTCTTTTGATACATTTCATTTCAAAGATGTCATATTTTAAACTTTTAATCCAAAAATCTTGTGCAGGAGCTTGGACTGGAATAACCCAGATGGGGTAAAATGTGCTTTGGAGAGTAGTCCAATTCTCAACATGTCAATGCCACTAGATGTGGGCACTGACCGCAGGCTATTCAGAATTGCAGACAATGTGACTCAATCCATGAAGGTCCCTGTCCACTTCATTAACATCACCACTCTCTCAGAGTACAGAAAAGATGCACATACCTCAGTCTACACCATCCGCCAGGGCAAGATGCTCACGCCAGAGCAGAAAGCTGACCCAGCCACCTATGCAGATTGCATTCATTGGTGCCTCCCTGGGTTACCCGACACATGGAACGAATTCATTTATACACGTATCATTTCTTACTCGTGACACCTACCAAATCACACGTGCAATTTATTTTCTTCATTTTTTTTTTTTTTTGTCTTTGTTATTATTATTTTTTGTTCCTTCTAAATTTCTGGTATTGCTCCATTGCCTCAGTCATTGTCTTTTCTTTTAACCTCCTTCAAATTTCTCAGGATTTGACGGATTTTTAACGTGTTATAGGATGAAGTATATAGGGATTTCTTGGTTCTTTTCTTTATTCGTTGATTACTGGACTGAGGTGGGAGCTATAGGCCAAAACTAGATATCACCTCTCTGAATTGTATAATGCTCATGTTCAAAGTTCAAA